AAAGCTTACAGTCATTAAGAATATGTTATTGATGCAGAAATGGGCAAACAAATCAATGGAATAAAATGGAAAGTGCAGAAACTGAATGAATATGAGTGACTGAGTGTATGTGTGTTCATGTTTGTGTGTAATGATGATGTGCTAAAATCAAAGAGCATTGGGGCAGCCGGTTAGCTTAGTTGGTTAGAGCACAGTGCTCATAACATCAAGGTTGCCGGTTTGATGCACATGGGCAACTGAGCTGTGCTCTCCACAACAAGTTGAAACAACTACTTGACTTGGAGCTGATGGGTCCTGGAAAAACACACTGTTTGTTCTCCAATAAAAATAATAATCATCATCAAAGAGCATTGCAAGTCAATGGAGAAAAACTGATGCCAGAGTAGCAATCATAGGCATTTAGAGGCTCCCCAGAATTGAGCCCTGATGAGGCAGGTGGACAAAGGGTACAGAGCTGGGACCAGTCACAGGCAGCACAGCCTCCAAGTGTACCTGCCTCAGACACACTCGTCCAGAAACAATCTGGGTAAATTAGAAATATAGTGTGAGCCACATATCTAATTTTAAACTTGCTAGTAGCCACATTAAATAGGAAAAAAGCAGGTGAAATTAAATTTAATAACATATTTTATTTAACCCAATACATTCAAAGTATTACCATCTCTACATGTAATCAGCATAAAAAATTATTTATGATATATTTTACATTGGTTTTTCATTCTTGGTCTTCAAATCTGTTGTGTATTTTCTACTCACAACACATCTCAATTTGGACACTAGATTTTCACTAAAATCTTGATCTGTAGTTCAATTTCATAAAATTTATAGTTGAAAAAGGAGATTCACATTCCCAAGTTTTTTCAAACGTACTTAAAATGAATCAACTATCAGTTCTTAAACTTTCATTAGAATTAAGTAAAATTTAAAATGTACTGCCTTGGTCACACTAGCCACGATCTAAGTGCTCAATGGCCAGTCACGTGTGGCCAGTAGCTAATGAATTAGAGAACAGGCGTCCAGAATCCTCTGCTGCAACTCAAAACACAGGGTCTCACACTGACCACAAAGATCCTGTTGAAGACTCAAAGTCACCATGACCTTTAACATATCTGATATCAAACCCAAATTCCTTCATCTGTCAGCTATGCAATCATGGGCAAGTTTTCTAAACTCACTGGGTTTCAGTTTTCTCATCTATCACATAGGGATGATACTGCCCATCTTGTAAAATTCTGAAGGTTAAATGTAAAAAAAATCAATGCGACCTGGCTCATAGAAGACACTGTTAGTTCTCTTCCCCTTCTATCTGTAGAGTATTTATGAAGTGTTTTCCAATTTACTATTTTGTTTGCTGCTGACAACAGGATGATTGTCAGATGAAAGATGAGAAAGCGAAGTTGAGAGAGATTAAGAGAACAGCTCAAGGTCACACCCTGGTGACACTGCGGAAATTCCAACCCCAGTACATCTGACTCTGGATCCAGTGCTCCTCTCAGTACCTGGAGTGTGTCAGCCTCAGCTGTGCCTCAATCTCTTACAAACCTCCTGCCTCCACCCCACAATCCAAAGGTGGGTGGGGATTCCTGGAGCATATGCCCTCTCTCCTCTCTCCTCTGCCCTCTGCCTCTCTCAGGCAGCTGGATGACCAGGCAGCCACCCAGCTCACTGAGTAGTCAGGCACCCACTGACTTATTTCTTCAGAGCTGCAGAGAACAAGGAAGTAGGAACCTCTCAAATGAGCAGGAGAAGAAAGGGGCCCTAGGGAATGAGTTAGGGCTTGTCTTCTATTAAAACGAGTACATATGATCTTACCGTACTGCGGACTTACTGAGAAAGGAGACCCCATTAACCACTGCCCCAAATACTCTGATGGAATTCTACACAGCAATGAGAGTGAATGATGGACAACTACACACAGCATCACAGGTGAATCACAAAAGTAATGCTGAGCAAAGGATGCCAAGCCCTAACAGGGGCATGCTGGGTAATTCCATGTATGTGAAGTTCTAAAACAGCCAAATAATTTATGCTCAAAGATGTTCGGGACAGTGGGGGTAGGGGGGCGGGGAAGAGGGACTTCTGGGGAACTGGTGCTGTTCTGTTTCCTGCCCCGAGTGCTGGGCACATGGCTATGTTTGTGAAAATTCATCAAGCGTACGTTTCTGTGTAGTTATGCTTCAATCAAACCTTTACACTAACTTTCTGGGCTGATGGAAATGTTTAACACATTGATCTGAGTGGTAGTTATATGGGTATATGCATATGCTAAACATCACTGAGCTATACCCTTAGGTTGTATTTTACTGTTTATGAATAAAACATAGGGAGTTACATTTAAAAAAAAATCTCAGGAATAAGTCACATAACTTTTTCCTCCTAAATTTAAACAACTCTAACCTCATTGTTTTAACCTCAAGGTCTTCTAAAAAATTTAGTTTATGAACAATTAAATGCCTACATGAACCTTAGGAATCTGTCATGAAATCAACATGACACTCTAGTGCAGCGGTTCTCAACCTTCCTAATGCCCTTAATGCACCTCCTCATGTTGTGGTGACCCCCAACCATAAAATTATTTTCGTTGCTACTCTATAACTGTAATTTTGCTACTGTTATGAATCATAATGTAAATATCTTTTTGTTTTCTGATGGTCTCAGGCGACCCCTGTGAAAGGGTCGTTCGACCTCCCCAAAGGGGTCGCGACCCACAGGTTGAGAACCACTGGTCTAGTGTATAACTATAGTGCTCTAATATGTCTCTTAAATGTATTACCTTAAGAGACAGTGCTACACACTTTCCTTCAAAGATATCTTGCTTAAGGGGCCGGCCGAGTGGCTCAGTTGGTTAAGAGCGCGAGCTCTGAGCAACAGAGTCACCAGTCCAAATCCCACATGGGCCAGTGAGCTGTGCCCAAGCTGAGTTGCCGCTGAGCTGCCAACAGGTGGTGGGATGGCTCAGCTGGTGAGAGCACATGCTCCGAACAACATGGTTGTCAGTTCAACTCCCGCATGGAATGGTGGGCTACGCCAACCCCCAACCCGCAACTAAGATTGAACATGGCACCTTGAGCTGAGTGGCCTGCAGCTGCCGTTGGGCGGCTGGATGGCGACTGGACTTAAAGCTGAGCTACATGCACCCTCCACAACTCAGATTGAAGGACAACAATTTGGCTGTTCCCCTTCCTCAGTTCCCCAATAAAATCTTTAAAAAAAAAAAAAAAAGGTATCTTGCTTAAGATGACATTTCATTTCCAAGCCTTTTTCCCTCTCAATTGGAAGTATAAAAGAAGGCATGGCTCAAGTAAAAATGCTCACAAATTTGAAACCTGTAAAGTCAAAATCATTGAGCCTTTAAATCAAAGTACCTTTCTTTTACAAAACATTGTATTAAATACAAATATTGAGGGCTGGCTGAGTGGCTCAGTTGGTTAAGAGCTCGCTCAAGAGTGCGAGCTCTGAGCAACAAGGTCACTGGTTTGATTCCCGTCCAGAGCTGAGAAGGAAGGCTCAGCTAAATAAATAAATACATACATTGAAAAAGTTAAAATAGCGGCTCTTTAGGTTTCCAAAACAATGGCAGAAAACTCCCCCAAGACATCAATGTAGACAATTAGTGATCCCTTATCTTGTCTATAAATCTCAATGTGTCAAACAAATACTATATCTTAGCATCTGAGTATTTATTACTATTATAGAATTTTAGCAAGGTAAATTCCCTAAAAATTTCACTATCAATGCACCAACACAATTTTTAGACTGTTTAATGCCCTTAAAACCTTTAAATAACAATCTGAGTTCAGCATTCCAAGATCTGCTAAGCCCTAGATAGTTGGGTTTTATTCTGAGGACCAACATCCCAAGGCCAACCACTGAGAATATCTGCAAAACAACAATGCTTACTTCATATTGCCAAATTCCCATTGGCCCCCAGAGGTATCTAGTGCACTTTAAAATATCAACAACAGGGCCGGCCGAGTGGCTCGTTGGTTAAGAGTTTTCTTGGGAGCCGGAGCTCTGGGCAGCAGGGCCACTGGTTCGGCTTCCACATGGGCCAGTGACGCTGCGCCCTCTACAGCTAAGATGGTGAACAACAGCTTGACCTGGAGCTGGGCTGCCATGAGTCAACAGCATCAGCGTAGGCTGCAGTGGGGCTGCAGTGGGCTGCCGTGAGCTACTGTGAGTGGCCGGCAGTCAGCATGAGCCGCCGTGAGCCACCGTGAGCCACCGTGAGCAGCCGTTCAATGGCCGGCAACCAACTGCCTCAGCTGGGAAGAGCGCAATGATCATAATACCAACATGGGCCAATGAAGCAACATCCTCCACAACTAGACTGAAGAACCAAAAGACAGCAACTTGTCTGTTCCCCTTCCCTAAGTCCCCAACGCTGTTCCCCTCCCCCAATTCCCCAATAAAATCTTTTTTAAAAAATAAAATATCAACAACAAATTGCACCAAAACAATTAAACAATAGCACGTTGATAAAGTATTAATATTACTTTCCTTGTGAAAAGTGAAGAACTTCTTGAACATCAACCTAAATTCCAATACCCTGAGGTAGGATCTATACATAAGAGGAGCATACTCCTGCCTTGGAAAGGAATGTCTTGGGGGAATGTCATGAAGAGAGACAACAATGATCTCAAAGAGACCTGGTTAGTACCATTTTCAAACCAGGCCATACCCTATGACAGCCAGTATGGTATTCACATTTTCCACATCCTCTCAAAACAACTTCTTAATGAATGACCTGAATTAAAACGAGCAATAAAACCATGCAATACTTGTTGGGATGACAAGAAAAAGTAAGTGTCCTCTCTTGGTAATATACAAATAAGTGACATAACTGACTACTAAACTTACTCTTTAATCCCCAGGATAATATTCTTGAGCAAAGACATTTTTTAGATAAACTGAGCTCCTGGTCCATCTCCTACATTATAATCCAGCAGATTCACTCACACAATCAAATGCCAAGTCCATCATGCAAAAACGGTTCTTACCTGTGAAAAGTTCAGCCCATTCAGTGGATGGCACTGCTCTTCCACCTTTTCCACCGCCCCCGTCTGTTTCCTCAACCGTTCAGCCTCCTGGGCAAGGTACAGGTCTAAGACAGGCACCCCACGGGACTTAATGTCTACTTCGGTCAGGGAGTTGACCATGAGCATGACCCAGATTGGCCTCTTGCGCTCCCAGTTACCAGCAATGGCATTGAAGAGGTAGTCTGCATAGAGACCCTTACCACGCTGGTCTGGGGTCATCCATGAGGGCATCATGAGCTTGACATACTCTAGGTGGCGCTTGAGGCGGCAGTAGATGTCCCTAGGGAGTACATCCTGGAGGTTCTTGCCCTGTGGCAGCATCTGACAGCTAGTGAGGGCCGAGATAGTGTAGGGGTCCGTGAGGTCCAGCTCGAAGTACACGATGCTGCTGTGCTGAAAAGCTTCCTTGGAATTGTCCGGGATAAAGTCCCAAACCCGGGTGTATGGGACATGGATTGTGCCAAAGAAGTAAGATGGCGGGTCTCTCTTTATGGTCCACAAGAAAGAATTCAATTCACTTTGCTAAAAGAAAAGGAGACAACATCAAGGCATGATATGGAGGGCTAGGCACCTAAGAGGAGAAAATAAATTGGAGAGATAAGTCACATTGCAGGAGAAAAATTACCAAAATATGATTCAGATTTTGAGTTCAGGAAGATTCACCTGCCAAGAGCAGGAGTCCTCAGTGCAGCCTGCATTTCAGCATTCTTTTCCCCTTTCCAATCAAAATGTTGATTAAAGACAAGAAAGCAATAGCAATATTTGAATTTGCCCCATACCTGCTCTAGTAATGAACTGGGCAGGAGTTAAAGAAGGGACTCTCAAGAGACTCCAAGGATGCTCCTGGTGGAGGTAAGGAACACCTGAGGAGCCCACTGTTACCTCCCAGGCAGATCTGATAGCCTTCGCTTCTTCAGATCTCAATCCAACACTTCCAAAGGCAGAGACTCTTAACTCTAGTTGTACACTGGAATCACCTGCAAAGCTTTCAAAAGTACAATATCTGGGTTTCCCACCTCAGACCAGTCACATCAGGATCTCTGGAGGTAGAATCACAAGGGCTATTTTTTAAGCTCCCCTGGTGATTCCAATGTGCAGCCAAGGCCAACATTATGGTGCTTATGAGTCCCTGATTTCACAATTTGCTCCTATTCTTTTAGCACATGGGTTATCCTATAGCATTTCTTTCTTACAAAAGCTTCTGGTTCACATCCACCCGAGGCCAGGCCATTGAGTGCCCGTTGACCCTGGGTGCTTCTCAGTCTCAACAGCAGGCATTTATGAAGTGTCTATTTATTAAGAGACACTGTACAAAGAAACATACAAAGCAGCCCTGAAGGAGTGAAATGCAAAGGTCAGACATACTCGTGAGGTGAACTACACATCAAACAACCCAGAAATGTGAAAATCCATGTTTATAGGAAATATTTGGAAAGCATTCCCTTTACAATAGGCTTTAATTTAAGCAGCCTTTTAAGTAGCATGTTTTCCTGCATTATGGGTTTTCAACATATCATCAATCCTTATTATTTGTCATAGTTATGCTCTACAAAGTCACCATGGACACTGGATTACCGATTACTGACCACTGCTCCTAGGGGAAACACAGGGTTAGGTTCCTGCAAGCCCCTGGTCACAACATTCATCAACAGACCGATACGTAGCCTTGTTTCATGTGTGCTTTTGTTGAAAGACGCCTTATTTAATGGTGTTGATTCATGAACATGGAACTCACAGCCAACAGTGCTGTAATTCATGCCTGAATGAAGCTCATCTAACACATATTTTATCTGTAAGACATATCACAGCCTCTTGTTCTTAGAAACACCAGGCAGAACCTCAGCACTACACTTGTGGCCATTTTAAACAGTGAAATCACCTTCAAAAAGCACAAAAATGCAAAAAACGTGGCATTCAGTAGACCACAAAAAGGACGCTTGTTTACTTGTTAATAGTTTGAGAGCCAAAACGACAAGACAGAGCACCAACTTATTCAGCCTCAGCTGGAAATGTGTGTGCATCAGGCAACTCAAATCTTTTGCAGTGCTGGGCACGTCTGCAAATGACCATGAAAGCACCATAAGCACAAGGGGTTACAAATCAATTTTAACAAGGAGGTGAAATCACAAATATGGGATCTACAAATAATGAGGATGGACTGCATTTGCATTTGTGTGTTATTGTTCAAGCAGCAGCAATCTGTTTTCAAGTGAAATAGCATTCAGAATCTCAAAATAGAAGACAGTTCCTTTAACAGGAACTGGTTAAAGCAGGGGCCCTATTCTCACAGCCTTCAACCTTCTCTTCTCCCCCTGCCACCTTGCAGCCTTCCACAAAAACACCCTCTCACCATTCAGATGAGGGCAGAGGCAGGCAGGTAAACACATGGGCAGGGGTGCAGTGGGGGCAGGTCAGCGGCAAAGGAGTCCATACCTCTCAATAAAGGATATTGGCTAAGCAGCCGAAGGCAGTGCTGGCCACATAGGATCAGGCCTGGTGCTCCAGAATGGACTTTTCAAAAGAAACTAGAAATTCTGACTTTAAAAAAATCTTCCAGTTGAAAAATGTTGCCTCAATTTTCTTAAATGCCCTGCAAGCCAACCAGAATATATATTGCTAGCCCCCAGCCTATGACCTTGTTTTTTAAAGTACTTAAATTACAATTCTGCTCACACACCCACCTTTTTATGAGTGCAATAACTGAGCAAAAAAAAGTCTAAATTCTGCTTCTGTCTCAGCTACCCCACTGAGAATTTTTAAAGCCACTTCATTTCTCTGTACCTCAGTTTTCTCATCTGTAGAAGTTATATAACAACCCCTGTCATAGGTATGGTGATAAACAACTTAGATGGGTAATCATTAAATGAATGAACAAATGAAAGAAAAAATGTATTTTAAAATGCATTCATGGTTAAGTAAATATTAAGAGAAGAATCATGTACAAGGTCTCCAGCCAGACCTCAGACATCCTCTTATGGAATAATGAGGGTCCCCAGGGTTATTTAAATACTTCAAAAAGCCAAATGGAAATTGTACATCTATCAAAGAATGGTTGCCCAGGCTAATTAAGCAATCAAATGTCTCTCTGTTGGTTAGAATTAGATCAAACTGTAAAAAAAAACACTAGTTAACTAAATGCTAATCAAAAGCTGAGACTGACAGTTACAGCTTTGGTTAATTTCAAATAGGCAACAAAATAATTACCTATAAATGCAGCTAGTTTGCTAGAAGTGGCCTTTGAAGCATAGGTTTAGCTTAGTTATTTGTTCATTTTAGGGGGTAGAGTTGATAATCAAAGGGTTCCTGGATGGTGATACAACTGGGCACCACTGACTTATATAAGATATCTGGTCAGAAGTCCCATGCAGTCCACCAAAAAACTTCTACATGGTTTCCAACTGGGAGACTCAGCAAAAGGGCCAAAATGTTATTATTAAACCCATGGGCACCTAATTCACTGTCATCTATCAGAAGACCATAATATTAAACAAATATGTTCCCAGGAAAACCAAACCCATACGGCAAATTCATGGTGTGCATGAAGGGGGGAGAGGAGCAGGAGGAGCACTGCAAATTTTGGTTTGCTTTTGGTTTATTCTTACGCAATTCATGTAATCTCCCTAAAGTCCCATCCTACCTCAAAATACCTGCACTTCTATTTAAACAAAGTCTGTTCAACTATTGGGTTGTCAAAAAAGTCATGTCGCATTTTTGCAACGAAAAACATAGAAAAACTACCTTATGACTTTTCCGACAACCCAATATATATACCCATTTTTATTTAATTATTTTATTGTTGCCTTTCCAATTATTATTAGTCTAGAAATAGGGTCCTTATATGATCTTTTCACTGAAAACTGCTCAGATTAAAAAACATCACAAGACTCATGTTCTGGCATCCAGCCATGTGATAACAATAATGATGCTGAGAGCCGCTGGCTATTATTGAATGTTCACTATGTGCCAGGCACCACCCAAGCATTGCACGTGGATTGTCCTACTGCATTCGTTCAACATTCATTTGTTCCATAATTATTTATGCTGCGCCTACCATGTGCCAGGCACTGGGCACTAGTATATTTTAGGACACTAGGAACACAGCAGTGAAAGCAACACAGTTCCCTGCATCGGGTATGGTAGTGATAACTGCTGTGGAGAAAATGAGAGTGGGAAAGGGAGCAGGGAGTGCTGGGGGAGAAGGGATGCGGTCTTAAATAGGGTGATCAGGAAAGTTGTTGAATGTCTGCTAAGACATTTAAGCCTTGCCATGAAGGAGGTGAGAGGGCAAACCAGGGAGCTGTCTGCGAGAAGAGCATTCTTCTCCGGGATGAGGGAACAGCAGTGCAAAGGCCCTGAGGAGGGATGACTACAGAGGAAAACAGGAGCAAAGGTCAGAGAGGCGAGGGAGGCCAGGCCACATGGGGCCTGTGGGCTGCTGGAAGGGCTCCGGCTTTTATGCTGAGGAGGATGAAAGCTAGCACAGGTTTTTGTGAGAGGAGTGATATGAGATGACCTAATGTGTTAACAGGATCATTCTGGCAGCTGCAATGAAGAGACTATTTAGGAGTGAGGGCAGATGCAAGGTCAGTTAGGAACCTGCTAAAATAATCCAAGTGAGAGAACAAAGTGGTAGTGATAGAATTGACAAGATGTAATTAGATTCTGGGTATGTTCTGGAAGCTAGAGACCACAGGATTTGCTGAAGTGGTTAATTAAAAGGACAAAGTTGCCATCAACTGAAATAAAGAAGACGGAGGTGGAACAGGATTCGAGGGGAAGGTCAGAAGTGTGGTTTTGGTCCTGTTGAGTTGAACGGCCTAGCAGACATCCAAGTGGGGAAATCAAGATAGTAGGTGGATGCATGAGTCTGAAGTTGACAGAAGCCTGGGCCACAAATAAAAATGAGGGTACTGTCCATTTAGATGTTATTTAAAGCCATGGGACTGGATGAGCTCCCCCAAGGGACTAAGCATAAATAGGAGAAAAGGTCTAGAAATGGTCTAACCTTGCAAAGTCATGAGACAGAAACAAAGCCAGCAAAAGAGAACAAGTAGTGGTCAGTGAGGTTGTTAGGAAAATCAGAAGCGTAAAAAGCCAATCAAAGGAAAAGTGCTTCAAAGAGGAGAAAGTAAACAGATGGGTTTAGTGTGGCTGATGAGCCAAAGAAATGGAAGATTTGAGAACTGACCTCTGGATGGGACAACACTGAGGTCACAGGAGACCTGGACAGGAAAAGTTTTGGTGTCTTGGTGGGGTGAGAGCCTGTCCGGTGCCCACTCAGGAGAAAATGGGAAGAGAACAAGTAGGGCTACACACAACCTGATAAGACACTGGCCGTTTCCAGATAGAGAAACTGGGGCCTTGAGATGTTCATGATGTTACCCAACATCCCATCTCTGCTGAGGGGAATCCAGGATTTGAAGCCAGGCAGGCTGGGCCCTGAGCCCTGGGTTTTAAACACCACATTATGAGTCTTTAACCTACAGCAGACTTTACTGAAGATTCGGAGTCGTATCTTTTTC